CTCAAAGCATATTGCCTTTAGCTTTGCTGTAATATGGCTTCCCCGACCCTATGAAGGGTCTTATCATGTTATAATCACAAATCATTAGTAATTAAGTAGAGCATTAGAGTGATTTGTTCTAACTTCCCTCTCATAACATGTATGTGAAATCATCTTGTATCAGTAAATAATTAGGACCAATTCATACGAAAGAACATTACGAAAACTCTTGCAATAACAAAAAAGGACAATTTCAACTAGTTTTCTGCAAGAACATCATTAAGAATGATTAGATTTTAATATAATGACATTACTGATGGGAGAATCATCATCAATTAGATACACAAAATTCACGTGGCCATTTGTATGGCTGATATTATTCATTTGCAATTTGCCACTAGCTGGTGACTCACTTGTTGTATGCTACTGTCCAGAGATGTCACTAGCAAGCACCGACTTTTATTTTTCCAAGAGTTGATACGTCATTTTGTTCCAAAGGAAAAGGGGCACTTTGTTCCAAGGGAAAAGGGGGTGGGTGCTACAAAGAGGATGACAACGAAGAAGAAACAATATCTTTGTCAATAAGAAGAATCAGAACAAAAGATACAACAACAAAGTCTTATCCTACTATGCGGGGTCGGTTGTATGAATCTTGGAACGTCACTGCGCTTGACTTTGTGCCAAGTCTACATAAATGTACCTTATTATAGATGACATTAGTCAACAAAAAGATGGACTACAAGTTCAGCTCCATTCTATGTTGTATGTGAATCCCTCTGCATTCCAAAACCCGAAAGTTATAACACTGCAAAGTTTTTCAGTTAGCAGTTTATACTTCAAATTCGGTGCAAGAAAACAGCAGAAAAAAAAAAAAAAAAAAAAAAAAAACCAAATTTGAAAAGGATTCAAACCAGATGACCAAAATTCTAAGACCATCTTCAATGGTGGTGGCTTATAACCTAAATTTTCCCCTCCCCCCCCCCCAAATCCACTCCAACCCAAAACCTAAACCAAACCTAAAACCTAAAACTTAAAATGAAGGTAAATATAGGTCACAAATTTAGCCCACAAAAGTTGTTGGGACCCACGGATGAAAGTGAAAAGTGGGCCTTGTCCTGTAGCCAACGACTACTTTTCTTCATCGGGTGGTGGTGGTAATTGGACCGTTGGTTAATCCAACGGTCCACATTCAATTTTTTTTTATATTTATATATTTATTAAATCCAACGGCTTAAATCGAATATAATCAAATCTAACGGTAAAAAAAAAAAAGATCTAACGGTCCAAGTTTAAATCCAATGGCTAGAATAATCTTAAAATTTATCGGAATTTAAATATTTTTTTCCAATGGCTAGAATAATTTTTTTTTTAAGTTTATGTGGTTTATCATGATTTTCATGTATTGATTTAGTGATTTTTCAAAATTTATCGGAATTTAAATATTTTTAGGTTAAAATGTTCATAAAATTAATTTTGGATAGTCTACATAATTTTTTTTTTTAAAAGTTAATTTAAAAAAATAGCCTTAATTCATTTTTTGATAATCTGGGGCTAAAATTTTAGGCCAAAGGGGTTGGAGTAGAAAAGCTATTTCTGGGCTAAAACCTAAATTTTTTGGGCTAAATATTTTTAGATTTTAGGTCAGGATTGGAGATGGTATAAGGACATCAAGATAAAAAAGCCACATTCAAACAACAAAAGGACAATTGCACACAAAGTAGAGGCTTAGAAAGAGAAGCATCTTTGCAAATGATGAAAGTAACGGCTGATACATGTAGGGTATACCAGATTTTGGCCTATAAGCATCTCTACACCGCCTTCAACTTGCTCTCGGGGACCCATCCTTTATCCCGGTTTTCATCAAAGCATCAGTGTAGATGCTCATTGTGACATAGCCACAAAAATATCCGGGCTGAAGGTTTGATTTTGACAGGCATTCAAAGGGGAACACAGATCGATAACTCCACTCCTTGGGTATGGGCCTTCACCTGCAGGAACAATAAGTCTCATAACTTCAGTACAGTTGCAACTTGCAATACAAACTTGCCATCTCTTTCACTAGTTCAAAATGGATGATAACTTTGTTCTTTACCATGTTCATGCATTTTTTGAGTTTTCCGTTATCCATTGTTCTTTAGTAGTTCAAAATGGATGATAACGGAAAAGTGATTAACTATAAAATACCCATGCACAAATATGAAGGTTCCTATACACTTTTTAAGAACTCCTACATTAAGTCGAATGAGAACCTTCATATTTGTGCATTTTGTGAGCTTGAAGATTTCTAGCACTAGCAGTAAAAGCGATTATCTATAAAATACCCTGAAAATGAAATGGCACCAAGGCGGAATGAACACCATGACAAGAAATTAATTTGGAAATATAATTCTTAGAATAGATAAAACTTAGGAAGCAATATATTGAATATCACTCATTTGAGTTGTGATGAGTCCATATTATACCATACATTTTACTCTAATTTTAGTTATAGTTTATTAGTTATTTTGGTAGAATTTTGATATTGTTATATATTTTCAATGTATGACATTTGACTTCCTCTAGAGCAAAAAATGATCGAACGGATGAATTTTGGAGTGATTTCAATTGAAGGATGTTCGTGAGTCTTTCAAGATGATTGTATCGAATTTTTAAATTTTTCTACCAAGCCATTTGACCGTGGTAATGAAATAAAGACCCAGCGCGCAGCTTTCCCAGATTGACATTTTTGGACGTTTTGGGTATTTTGAAGGTCAAGATGGCATAGTTTGAGAAAGATTCCTTCTGAGGATTTGTAGGGGACATCTCAAGATTTAAATAGAGACCTTTTGGAACCAAATCGGAGTTGATTTGGTCGGTCAAAAGTATGATTTTCTGAGAAGTTCGAATTTCGATTTAAATAGGAAACATTTTATTTCCTAGTTATATTATTTTATTATGTTTCCTAGTTTCATTCTAAGACTTTTTAGGGTTTTATTTTGTAGTAGTATAAATAAGGCTATTTAGCCATTAGAAAGAGGGGCATCAATTTGGAAAACTTATCTAGGCTTTGACAATTTGTATTTCAAGGTGTTTTCTATCCTTTTTTCTATTTCAATAAAATTCCTTTTGTTTTATGGTTGTTCGTAACTAATTTCCATTTGCTAGGACGATGCCTTGAGCCTTAGCATGAATATGTAGTGTCTATTTAATTGCTTATGATATTATGCATGCATGCTTTGAATTATTAATCACTGTACTTTAAACTATCTTTGTGTTTTAATGATTCGCGACCATTAGGATGTTTAGATAAGTAATCGAATGCAATTCGGTCGGAATACCACCGGGGAATTGAATATTGCTTTTTGTGATTGATAGTTGTAATTTCAATTTCACCTAGGATGAATACCATGTCTTTGGGGTTGCATGGTTTTTCAAAGGGTTTTCACAAAGCGTAATGAGTCTTGCATGTTTATATTTGATATGAATAACACAAACGGATTGCATGTTTGATATACGTTCTAGCTTGAATACCACGAGTAGAATATGCATTAGGAAAACCTAACCTTCAAAGTTGCATAGGTAATTCATAAGTAATTAGTAAATCTACATAGAATTGTTAAGGTGATGGTGGAACCCTAGGTTTTTATAATTTGGTTTTCAAAATGCTTTCTTTTGTTTTCTTTACTTTGCTAATTTCTTTAATTGTTTTAATTTAAAATTCATTTTTAATATTTTAGGTCATAAAATCAACCTCTTCCAAACTTTGTTTTCAAATAATTAATTAAGATTTGGTATTTACATAAATTATTCAATCAATCTCTACGAAAAACGACCTTGTTTGAACAGTTTATACTACAACTACCTTGTTTTCTTGCAAGTATTTTTAAGTGTTTTTATTTCTACTTTTACATATGGTAAAAATCTCTATCAAGTTGCTTATTTAAGAGTTTATACTATCCCCGTCTGGTTGAATCTTCACTCTGCAATTTTATTATTTAAGAAACCTTGAGGAGCTAAAGTTTCTAACAGTCATTGATGGAACTCTGAAAATCACCTACAATTCTTCTTTTTTTACACTTTCGGGGGTGGGTGGGTGGTAGACCCCCGTGAGGAGGAGGATAACAACTCGATTCATTATTTACTTTGTCGAATATGCTGGTCAATATTAGGTCATTTTAATCTTTGATTGCCTCCAGAGTCCAGAGTAAAGCTACCTAAGGACTAATCCGAAGTTCTCGAATATGACAGTTTTTACCAATTAATAGTTTGACATATTACTAAGCTACTTCTCTTCGAAATGTGAAAAGAGGTTCCAAGTTTAATTCCCCCCTCGCCCTTGATCAAAAAGGAAAAAGGATTAGATTTTTCCTGCAAAATTTTTATTAGGGTGAACTGCCAATTTAGGCCTTGAATTATCACCTCAGTGAAAATTAGGTCTCTACACTATATTTTTTTTTAGAAAAATCAGTCATTGAATTATAAAAATTTGCCAATTACATCTCTAACATTATATTTGAAGCTACTATATTCAATTTTTCATTAATTTAAGTCGTATTACTTGCATGTGATACACATTGGAGGGTAGATTGATAGTTTTTCATAAAGAAATAGTGTATGGAGTTAACTTTGGTAGGTAAATTGGTAGTTTTTCATAAGAAATAGTGTAAATTAACTTTGGATGGTAAATTAGATATTAGATTCGCAACCTATATGAAATGTTCAGGGCTTACAGACAAGAAAATGACAGTATTACATTCTAAAGTATGTTAAGTGATTTAAGTTGACGAAAAATTGAATAAAATAACTTTGAATATAATAGTAGAAATGAAATTAAAAATCTTCACTCTGCAATAAATTGAAGGGTATAATATACGAGGATTGGAGAATGAACATCAATTCTACATCTTTTGATGGTAAGCGATATATGGTGCTATCTTTGAATTAGCTAAACAAAGTTTCTTAGAAATACAGATTTGCTAAGACTTAACTGTAAAAGAGAATTCGGAACTCCACTCCTTTTGAGGCTACCCATTCGGTCATACCCAATACCGATCTTACTGTGCATCAACTTCATAGCTAAATCTGCATTGCCAGCTTTCCTCAAGGCATTGATTAGAACAGTTCGGATTCGTCCTGGTATTTCCCTACCTGTGTCCACAATTCCATCGGCCAAGTTGCAAGCTTCCTTGACACGGCCAGCTTTGGATAACACATTGATCATATCTTCAAAAGCTGTCTCAGGAATTACACCCATTGGCGCTAGCTCATCCAAAATCTTGCAGGCTCTGGCTACCTTGCCTGGGCCCTGAGAGACAAACCCATATAGAGAGGGCCCTGAAGAAAGCAACATTCTATTAGAGTTTGTGTTTTATGTGTTTTTCAATGGAGATCTCTGTGTTGGAGGTTGAAGAACAAAACAGAGAAATGAGAGATAAGAAGATTGAATGTGTCTCTTCGATTTCACTCTATGTCCAAAAATACATTTGTAACTGTTATGTATGTAGAGGAAGGGAGATCCTTCACTCACCAATACACAACACAATCTCAACCATACATTGCTATCATCCTATGAGATGATGCCACTTGTCTTGTTATATCACTTAGATCCTATGCTAGAAAAGAGACCACTTGGACTATGATCCAATGGCTCAGATTACATCAGCAAGATAAAGCACATAAAAGGAAAATCAAAATTTGTAACTTTAGCTCCAAGATATTAGCTCAAGGGTTATATATCAACACTCCCTTCTAACCCTTTAGCTGATTTCACACCAAGTAGATCTCTTAGGTAGACAAATCGATCTTTTGACAGAGCCTTGGTCAGTATATCTGCAATCTGGTCTTCTGTTTTGCAGTAGACAAGTTCAATCTCCTTTGTTTGGATAGCTTCCCTGATAAAATGAAATTTCCTACTGATGTGCCTAGTTCTCTGGTGTAGAACTGGATTCTTTTGCCATTGCTATGGCTGAAGTGTTGTCGCACAGAATTGGTGTGCCTTCCACTTGCTCCTCACCAAAATCTTCAAGCACAAACCTTAGCCATTTAGCATGTGATGTTGCTTCTGCAGCACTGACATATTCTGCTTCTGCAGTGGACAGTGCCACTATGTTTTGTTTGATTGATGCCCATGAAAACATACCGGATCCAAGTGTAAATGCATATCCTGAGGTGCTTCTCATGTCATCCTCACTTCCTGCCCAGTCACTATCACAGTACCCTATCAGAGTAGTTGTCTTCCCTTTTACAAATTCAATTCCAAAATCAAGAGTGCCCTGAATATATCTCAACACCCTTTTGGCTGTTCCCATGTGTTTCTTTGTGGGGTTATGCATGAATCTAGCAAGTAAACTAGAAGAAAACATTATATCCGGCCTTGTAGCAGTCAAGTATAACAAGCTACCTACAACTTGTCTATATTCACTTTCATTTGCTGCTTCACTACCATCTGTCTTGCATAACTTCTCATTCACAGCCAGTGGTGTTGCCACTGATTTGCAATCTTTCATCCCAAATTTCTCAATAAGCTTCATTGCATATTTTCTCTGGTGGATAAAAATGTTTTTATCTGTTTGCACTACTCCCATGCCAAGAAAATGATGAAGTAACCCCAGATCAGTCATCTCATAATGCTGCATCATGTCATTTTTGAACTCTTCGAGTAGTTTTGGACAACTTCCAGTATATACAATATCGTCCACATAGAGTGAAACAATAATGATACCTGTGTAGCTTCACTAGTTTTGACATAAAGTGTTGCTTCACTAGAACTCTTCTTGAAACCTGCCTTGCCGAAATAGGAATCTATCTCATCATACCAAGCTCTCGGAGCTTGCTTCAACCCATACAGAGCCTTGTTCAACTTATACACCTTGGTTTCTTCACTCTCCTTCACAAAACCTTGTGGCTGCTCAACATAAACCTCCTCCTTCAAAGTTCCATTCAGAAAAGCAGATTTTACATCCAACTGATATAGATTCCATTCCTTCTGTGCAGCAAGTGCTATCAAGGTCCTAATAGTATCTAATCTTGCAACCGGGGCGAATGTTTCATTGTAGTCTATCCCAGGCTTTTGGGAATAACCTTTTGCCACCAGTCTGGCCTTGTTTTTCTGCACGGATCCATCAAGGTTCAACTTGGTTTTATAGACCCACTTAACACCAATGATTGGCTTGTCAAATGGTCTATCAACTAGCTCCCATGTGTTGTTCTTCTCAATCATTTCAAGCTCAGATTTCATTGCATTTTCCCATGACTCGTCTAGAATAGCATCTTCATAGTTTTCAGGTTCTACAATGCACATGTTACACTGAGCCATGATCTCATTTACACTTCTCCATTTCTGTGGTGTGTGATCAGTTGTTTGAGAACTTTCGAAAACATTCTCACTTAGTGATGCAACAACATCCTCCACTTGAGTTGATGTATCCAAGAATTGTCTTGGTTCACGTACTTCCACTTGATTCTGTCCTTCACTACAATCTGCCATTTGATTCTCAATAATCATGGGAACTTGTATTTCACTCTTATCAGTTCTCCCATTCCCATGAAGCATTCTCATCAAAGTGTACATCTCTAGACAGGATGATCTTATTAGAACTTGGATCAAACACTCTGTACCCTTTTTCACAGATTCCATAGCCTACAAAAATACACTTGCGACTATTTCTTCAAGCTTATGCCTTAGTGTTGAGGGAATGTGCACATAGCATAGTGACCCAAAGATCTTCAAGTGTGCAATGCCTGGTTTTCTACCAGTGTATGCTTCAAATGGAGTTATCTTCTTGAGGGACTTTGAGGGACATCTATTAAGTATGTAGACTGCAGTGTTCACAGCCTCTGCCCAAAATGCATAAGAAAGACCCTTTTCATGCATCATAGACTTTGCCATTTCCACCACAGTCCTATTCTTCCTCTCAGCTACTCCATTCTGTTGAGGAGAATATGCCATGGTTAATTGCCTTTGAATTCCAAGCTCATTGCAGTAACTATCAAATTCAGTTGATAAGAACTCTCCACCCCGATCACTCCTTAGACATTTCACCTTATATCCACACTGCAACTCTGTCATTGCTTTAAACTTCTTGAAACAATCAAATGCACTTGACTTGTTTCTGAGAAAATATACCCAAGACATCCTAGTACAATCATCAGTGAACAACAGAAAGTACTTATTTCCAGAGATAGATTCAGTTTGCATTGGTCCACAGATATCTGTGTGAACCAATTCCAAAGGAAATTTTGCTCTCCAAGCTGATTTTGATGGAAAAGACTCTCTGTGTTGCTTTTTTGAGGCAATCCATGAACCATTTCTTGATCTTCAAGCATTTTGATGCTTCTTTATTTAGATGCCCCAAACGCTTATGCCATATCTGCATACAGTGTCACACTTGCTTTCAAGGCTATCTGATTTGCTGGCATCATTGTAAGCGGAAAACACCTGTTGTTTGTCATCTGCACTCTAACCACAAGATTATCCATTGACCAACCATCGAAGATACTCACAATATTTCCTCCAAACAATAGATAGTACCCGTGCTCCATCATCTGTCCAACACTTAGCAGATTCTCTTCAAGTCCAGGAACAAGCATCACTTCTTGAATGTGCTTTCTTCCCAATTTGGTCTCTATAACAAGAGTCCCCTTTCCTGCAACCTGAACAATCTCTCCAGTTCCCATCTTCACCCTGGAAGTCAGATTCCTTTGGATGTTGATTAGTAACCTTTCATCACCTGTCATGTGGTTACTACAACCACTATCAATGTACCATGAATGATTCACCTTCACATCTGTCATAGCATTACATGCATAGAACAGGGTACCAGTTTCTTCAACATGATTTACATAGTTCACCTTCTGTATATTTTTGTTTCCATGGCAGTCTCTGATCACGTGCCCAAGTTTCCCACAACCTGTGCATTTTGGCTTCCCTTCAAACCAACATTTGCCATAATGCAATTTATCACAGTGTCTACAAGCTGTCTTGTTTCCATCATTAGAGACATTTGGTCTTTGAACAAAATTTGGCTTATTATCCCACTTCTTTCCTTTGAATTTCCAGTTTTCTGAAACTTTTGATTTCCAGAATAACCTATTCCCTTAGAGTTTTTACCTCCAACATTTAGACTAGCAAAAGCTCGTTCAGTAGAATTTTCAGCATGTCTATCCAATCTGAGTTCAAAACTTTTCAGAGAAGCAACTACCTCTTGAATCTCAAGAGTTTCAAGGTCCTTAGAATGTTCAATTACGGAGCAAATAGGATCATATGATCTAGGCAAACTAATCAACAATTTTTGCACAACTCTCTCTCTAGACAGATCCTCACCATAACTCTTCATTTGATTCATTATATCAAACAATCTAGTGAGATATACAGATAAGGATTCACTATCTTTCATGCGAGTATATTCAAATTCTCGACGCAAACCTTGCAATTTTACGCTCCTTACTTGCTTATCTCCTCTGAACTCTTGCTTCAGAATGTCCCAAGCACCCTTTGAGGTCTCTTCGTTCACAATTCTGGGGAAAATTTGGTCTGAGACAGCACATTGGATCAACCCAAGTGCACGAGCATCCTTCATCAGGATTTCAGCTAACGTCGGCTTCTCCACTTCCGTGACCTCGATCTCTTCTATCTTCTTCTTCTCCTTCTTTGGATCTGAAGCATCGAACCCATTTTCAACGAGATCCCATAACCCATGAGATTTTCAGAATGGTTTTCATTCGAATGCTCCAGAACTCATAATTTTCTCCATTGAAAACTGGTGTGCGAAGCTCAGCAGTGCCTGATCCTGCCATGTTAGACATCGGATTCAAGAAATCACACCACCTCGATCGTCGTATGAGCTAGATTGCAGCTCGAATCAATTCCAGTTTTCTTTTCACATATTTACGCCCAGTTTAGATAACCGAACCTGGCTCTGAGCCCATATTAGAGTTTGTGTTTTATGTGTTTTTCAATGGAGATCTCTGTGTTGGAGGTTGAAGAACAAAACAGAGAAATGAGAGATAAGAAGATTGAATGTGTCTCTTCGATTTCACTCTATGTCCAAAAATACATTTGTAACTGTTATGTATGTAGAGGAAGGGAGATCCTTCACTCACCAATACACAACACAATCTCAACCATACATTGCTATCATCCTATGAGATGATGCCACTTGTCTTGTTATATCACTTAGATCCTATGCTAGAAAAGAGACCACTTGGACTATGATCCAATGGCTCAGATTACATCAGCAAGATAAAGCACATAAAAGGAAAATCAAAATTTGTAACTTTAGCTCCAAGATATTAGCTCAAGGGTTATATATCAACACATTCGGTGTGATGCTCTTATCAATCATCGTGTCCCAGAGCTTCAATGCCTCTTCATTTCTGTGCTCTTAAAATGTCCGCTGATGAGTATTGTGTATGTATAAACCATCTGATCACAACCTTCCTCTTCCATTTTCTTAAAGAGTGCTAATGCTTCATCAGTTTTTCCACAACACGAAGCAACATCTCCTTCTGAATAACACCCCTGTATTAAAGCCATATAAGTAATCTTATCAGGTTCCACATTCCTCCCCTCCATAGCTCTAAACTTCTCCATTGCTTTCTGGGTTTTCCCTCCCTTACGATACCCTTTGATCATTGTATTATAAGTCGCAATGTCCGGTGCAATTTTCCCGCCTTCCATAACCTCAAAAACCCGCTCAGCTGATTCAATAAACATCGAATTCACCAAACCATTCAATAGAAAGTTATAAGCATACAAACTAGGCTCAATCCCATTCTCCTTCATTCTACGCCAAACCCACAACAGCTCATCAACCATCCCAAGACATCCAAAGCTTTTAATCAAAGAATTCGATGCCAGAGAAGTCACCAAAAAGTTCATTTCTTTAAGCTTAACAAGAACACATCGAATGCGGTCCAAATCACCACACACATATAAAAGTTCAATTAAAGACTCATATCATTCAAGCTTCTGATGATATTTCTTCTGCCTACCAGCCCAAGAAAAGATCGCAAGGCAGTTTCGAGCTTCCCACGAAGCTCAACAGATTTCAATACATACGAAACAAAATTAGGAGACAATTTGATCAAGAATGTGCGACAGTAAGAGTCTAAATTAGCCTCCATCGTTGGAGACCCATCTAAAAGATTGAGAATTTGAGCGACCCAAGGAAATGGATCAAAGTTTTGTCTGTTTGACACTACGTCAGAGACGTCATTGAAAGGTTCTACCCATTCGGGAGGAGGGAGAGAGTTGGTGAAAACCCATCTCGGATTTGAGCTGAAACTTGACACCGAGTAAGAATTCGAAGCTTCTGATGAAGACCCGCCATTTTTATACGGACGGGGAGGTCTTGGAGGAAGAATACGGGCTGCTGAGAGAGAAAGGGGAGGTCTCAGTAGGGTTCTTCTCGTCAGGGTTTCCGGTGTTCTGTTCGCCCGTGTGCTTAGCGAGTGGAGCTGAAAGCCTGAAACGGTGAATGTGAAGATTGAAGTCGGAATGGATATTAAAATCCAGTTCAAAGATTATACTCGCAACGGTCCCATGGTCTAGTGGTTAGGACATTGGACTCTGAATCCAGTAACCCGAGTTCAAATCTCGGTGGGACCTTTTTACATTTCTAGCTGTGTTTTTCTTATTTTTTATTTTTTTTTGGGGTTGGTTGCTTACAGATATTTATTTGGGCTTTTTACTTCCTTCTATTTTTCAACCTTCAACTATTCATAAGCCCAGTTACCGCGTGCTGGGCTTTGTTTCTGGTTGTTTACAAACTAATATAGGCTTATTTTTAGCTTTTCGATCCTGCTTTACCTCATAAAACTCAAAAGTCGCCACTTTGCTCCCTAGAACTGAATTTCGATCTCTCTTTGCCCTTGAAATTCAGTATTCACTCCACTTTAGCTTGTTTCTATTTATTTTGTTAAGTCTACTTATGCGACACAATTAAGGTCCACTTATGGTTGTCGTGGCACAACTATAAAAGCTCGCATAACCAATAAAATGGTGTGACATAGATCTTGTTGATGCACAAAATCAGCGAGGACTTTGGTACAACAGAAAGTGTCAGGTTTGTGACATTCGCTTGGTTGCTTCGATCACTAGTGAAGATAAGTACGTAAATGAATAGGGACATGGAAGTAAACACAAGATGTACGTGGTTCACCCAGATCGGCTACGTCCACGGAGTAGAGGAGTTCTCATTAATTGTGAAGGGTTTACACAAATACATAGGTTCAAGCTCTCATTTTGTGAGTTCTAGTGAATAGTTTAGTACAAAATGACATTAGAGATTATTGTGGGAGAATGATCCCTATTTATAGAAGAGAGTTTCTAGTTTTGTTCTAACATTGACACGTGTCGTGTTGTGATTGGCTTTTGATATTGACACGTGTCGTGCTGTGATTGGCTTCTGATGTCGACACGTGTCGCATTGTGATTGGCCTCCTGGTTGAAGGGAAGCTCTTCTGGGTCCTTGATGGTATAACGTTGACCGGTGCTCAGTAGTTTCGGGATTGGTCAAGTATGGTACAAACAGTGCTCCCCTAAGTTCCCGAGTGAGGGAAGCTCCTCGGTTGGGGACTTGTAAGATCCAAGCCATTGAGTAATCACGAAACTTCTAAGTACTGAAGTATGGTATCATTTTCACGTGTCTTATCTGTCTCATATGTAGATGTGGCATCTTCTCTGGAAGTACTTTTCCTCCATCCATGGGTGGTATCTTTAACCGATGAAGATGCACAAGGTAATGTATCAATTTCACTTGAAGCTTACTTGTAGTTTCGGGCCTGGTCAAGTGCGATACAAACCCTATAGTAGGAGTCCCCAAGTCGCCGAGCTAGGAGATCTGCCGAAAGAGGTGACATACAAGGTAAGCAGTCAAACTTCCAAGCAAGCAACCCAGGATCGGAGGTTCGACTTCAGCTTCCGGTTGATTGTTCTCCTTCTTCTTGTTTCTCATTCAGCTGCCAGGATAAGGAGAAGCAAATGGAGAAGAGATGATATGAGATACTTTTGCTTTTGAAGAAGTAACTTTCCACAGGCTTATTCTTGAACTGTGCTGGAGGGTTTTCTGGTTCCCTTCAAAGTATAAGGCCGACTCAAGAATTTGAGGGTCAAAACAAGTCCATCAAATTTAGAGTACGTTCGACCTTGATGATATGAGATACTTTTGCTGTTGACGGAATAGTGAATGTGGTATGGAAAGGTGTCGTGCTGTAGTGATCTGTTTCAGCTCACCGTTGAACCTTCTGCTTCAATCTTTTGCATGGCAGAAGTGGTGTGCAACCTTTGCATTTAAATGGTCATTCAGAACATTCCTTCATAGTGACTCATCCATGCTTGGCAGCTTCAGTGTAAAGAGCCAATATCTGATCAACTGTCATGAGGTATGTGCCGGTGGAATTCATGACCTTGACAACAGTTGAGGATGAGTTCTCGAGAGCAATGCTAAGTAAGCAACCAGGCAAAGGTCTCAGGCCTGACACTTTCTGTTGTACCAAAGTCCTCGCTGATTTTGTGCATCAACATGCGCCAAATGTTGATGCACAAAATCAGCGAGGACTTTGGTACAACAGAAAGTGTCAGGTTTGTGACCTTCGCTTGGTTGCTTCGATCAATAGTGAAGATAAGTACGTAAATGAATAGGGACAGGGAAGCAAACACAAGATGTACGTGGTTCACCCAGATCGGCTACGTCCACGGAGTAGAGGAGTTCTCATTAATTGTGAAGGGTTTACACAAATACATAGGTTCAAGCTCTCATTTTGTGAGTTCTAGTGAATAGTTTAGTACAAAATGACATTAGAGATTATTGTGGGAGAATGATCCCTATTTATAGAAGAGAGTTTCTAGTTTTGTTCTAACATTGACACATGTCGTGTTGTGATTGGCTTCTGATGTTGACACGTGTCGCGCTGTGATTGGCTTCTGATGTCGACACGTGTTGCATTGTGATTGGCCTCCTGGTTGAAGGGAAGCTCTTCTGGGTCCTTGACGGTATAACGTTGACCGGTGCTCAGTAGTTTCGGGATTGGTCAAGTATGGTACAAACAGATCTAAACCAAAAAAAAATTTATTCTTTTTCCATACTTGGGTTTTACAAACACTTATTCTGATTCCTCAATGTTTGTCAAACATGTTGATGGCTCAATTGTGATTCTTCTCCTATATGTGGATGATATTATAATTACTGGGAATGCCACTTCTGCAATACAACAGGTTACTAAGGAATTTGATATCAAGGATCTTGGTTCTTTATTTTTTCTTGGGTATTCAAATCTCCAAATCTTCAAAAGGTTTGTTTTTGTCTCAAGAGAAATATGTTGTTGATCTGTTGAAGAAGACTGAGATGATGGATGCTAAACCTGCAGCAACTCCATGTTTGCCTTACAATAGGCTTCTTAAGGATGATGGACATCCCTTTAATAATCATGCCCCTTATAGAAGTGTTGTTGGTGCTCTGCAATATCTTGTTTTTACGAGACTTGACATTGCCTTCTCTGTGCATCAGGTTAGTCAGTTTATGCAAGCACCTATGATATCTCATTTCACTGCAGTAAAACAAATCTTGAGGTATCTTAAAGGGTCTTTGTCACATGGGATTACTTATAGCAGAGGTGAGTTGATAATTAAAGCCTTTAGTGATGCTGATTGGGTTGAGGATCCTAATGATCGGAGATCCACTACTGGCTTAGTTATCTTTCTGGGAAACAACCCCATTTCTTGGTCTTCAAAGAAGCAGCAAACTGTATCTCAATCATCAACCGAAGCTGAGTATAGAGCATTGTCTTCCACAGCTGCAGAATTAGATTGGATTCAACAGTTGCTTACATTTCTGCAGATCAACTTTCTTATACTCCAATTCTGTTTTGTGATAATATGTCTGCCATTGCACTCTCCTTCAATCCAGTTCAATATCAGAGGACCAAACATATTGAGATCGATGTTCATTTTGTTCGTGAAAGGGTGGCAAGCAAGAAGCTTCTAGTACAATTTGTTTCTTCCCAAGAACAGTTTGCATATATCCTTACTAAGGGGCTCAGTGCATCTTTTTTCAGTACACATTGTTCAAACCTCATGCTTGGTTTATCCAAACCTGAGCTTGAGGGGGGGATGTTAGAGTATATAACTAAACCATCAGGATTATGACATTTGTCATAATATCAAAGGTTAGATTACAAGAGTTGGTTAGTCTATCTTGTACGGATAAGAGATATAGTTAGAAGATAAAGATAATGTAATAAGATCTCATCCAATATATGTGGGATTGTATTTGCTCACAAACATTAAGTGAAATATATGAAAAGATTTCCTTCTCTCTCTAAACTTTGACTTCTCTCTCAAACTATTACCTCTATCATCTTCTCTGTAAGTTTCTCAATGATCTTGTACTATGGTTAACATCTTTGTCTATACATTCTGTCATCGATTATTTTGTTACCAGGAGTCGAAAATGCAAAACTAGGGGTTGACTATTAAGCTCATCCATCGCGACTCCCCGGAGTCACCTCTTTACCAACCTAACCTCGCACCAGCAAAAAGAACACAAAACCTCCTACAATCAAAAGCCCGCGTGTAAGGAATGAACGTTTACAGCCCATCAATTTTAACTCAGGTACTAATTTTGTGAGTCCGAAAGTTGATTACCAGAAGGGCGCTACGTTCATGGTGCAAGTGAGCATAGGCATTCAGGATGTCACAGCCCATTTCTTACTTTCTTGACATGGACACGGGGAGTGACCTTATGTGGGTAGAATGCCAAGAATGTAAAGATCCAGGGCACCACAGCTTTCACCAAAACAAACCTGTTTTCAATCATTCGCAATCCTCTTCTCATAGAAAACTTGTTTGTGATCGTCATCCCCTTTGCTTTCCTGGAAAATGTATCGGAAACTTTTGCTCATACCATATAGTGTATGACAATGAGGCTACAACCGAAGGCTATCTTGCGTCCAAAACCTTTACTTTTGAATCAAACTCAAAGCGGAGTGAAAGGGTTCCAAATATAATTTTCAGTTGTGGTATTAAATTATTAATCAGATAGGTATGGGTGCTTATGGTGAAGAGAGGTAATGTCGCTGGAATATTAGGCTCGGGATGGTCACCTCATTCTCTTGTCAGCCAATTTGGTTCTATTTCCGAAGGCTGGTTCTCACATTGCCTCCAAAGAATGCCCTATGACCATCACAGTCCCAACACATATCTGAGATTTGGTGCAGACACCCAATAGACCATCTTTTCAACAGACTGAGTTAGTAAAATTTGGTAGACTTACTCCTTACTTTTTGAACATGCTAGACATTAGTGTTGCAAGTTCGCGTCTACATATTCCACCCGAACATTTTGCTAGGAGGCCGCAGTTTCGTGGTGGGACACTAATAGATACAGGAACTGCTTACTCAGGAATTATTCAACCACCTACGAAATCTTGGAACAAGCACTCGTGAATTACTTCTCTAGGTATCATAATTTAACAAGGATTCATAGAGAAGACTTCAATTTGTGCTACCAAAGATCAACGGTCAGAAAAGAAGGATATATAAACCTTCCAACGATCACATTCCATTTGAGAGGTGCTGATCTTCTGTTGCAGCCTCAGGCAGCGTTTTTTGTTGATCTAACCGGGCAGTCGGACAGGCGAGAGTATTTTTGCCGGCAATGTTCAACGAAAGTGATGATACCGTAATAGGTGCATACCAGCAAACAAATCAGCGTTTCATGTACGATCTCGATAGAAGGACGTTGCGTTTTGGCCCTGAAGATTGTAGCAGAACTCCATGAACTTTGTTGTATCATGCCATAAGTAAAACGAAATAAATTAATAAGGCAAATTTATTTGTTGTATCACTTCTAACTCAGAATAGCTGTTATTCTCCTCCAAACTCGTGTCACGTGTACAGAGAACTAACCATGCTGAGTCTATATTCTTTAATCTTTTATTGCGGCAAAGGAAAAAAAATAATAAATTAATCAAGAATTTAGATATGTATGATGAAACTAAATTGACAGTTGCCGATGGTATAATATTAACATTTGTTTCTTGTGTCAAAATTCGTATTGATCGTGTTAGACTTTCGCGTTTCAAAAGTCAAACGGAAAACAGTAGAAGCATGTGTAAATGTATGGTAAAGAAAGCAAGCACGATCCTTTTCTCTGTTCCACTCAGAAATCCAGGACTCGTGTTATTTTTTCGATCAACGAAGCAAACATTTCAGTCCCAAAAACTCCCACGTAAAATCATAGACATTACATTACGTTGAACTTCCTCAATTTCTCCGAAAGCTCTGTCGATTAACCCGACAAATGTCTACTCTAAACATAATCGCAGCTCACAACCTCCCTTCACCCTCAACCTCCTCCTTTGCTGCTCAATCTCACAAACCCAACTCGCTTTCACTCTTCTTCTGCACCCAAGCCTCCAGCAAACCCGACCCACCTAGGCTTTCGGGCTTCCCGACCCGGAAAAAACGAAGCTGGATTGTGGGGTCGGTCACGGAGGACAGAGAGGTGGTTCCATTGAAGGAAAAACTTGCAGAGGAGCAAGATAGCAGGTTACTGGTTAATGGGTCGGAAGAGTTTCAGGCTCTTTCGACATCGTCGGAGGAGAAAGGAGAGGGGGATGATTTGGATAAGCTGACGAGCAGAGCAATTAATGCGTTGATTGTTCTGGGATTTGGGACCTTTGCGGTCTCTAAGTTGCTCACAATCGACCACGATTATTGGCATGTAAGTGATCTCCTTCATATGTGTGTGTGTATGTATATATGTAAATATATTGGTCTGTGTGTTCATGGATAATGATGCTCATATGACTCTTTGAAGGGTTTTATCTTAATTTGTTGATTAATTGATTAAAGTTTTCAGCTTTAATTCTCGAATTGGTTGATTCTTAATACTTTAATAATACTTAGTTAAGTTTCTCTGCTGGATTTGGAACATCTTTTAGTAGAATGATGAACCGAATTGAAATTGGTATCTGTGAATTCATGGATTTTGATGCAAGTAAGCTGAAGAAGGTTTAAAGGGTTATGTTGTTTGGCTTAATTTGTTAATTTGCTTGAAGTCTTCAGCTTTGTTTTTGGAATGGGTTGATCCTTAATACTTCTTAAGTTAACCTATACATGTTTGAATGATGAGCTGAATCAAAATCGAGTTCTTTTCTTCTCTATATTGAATAAGGTGGTTGTCTCTGTAACTTGTTGTATTTTGGATGTCAAGGCTTAATTTTTGAGACGTATTTCAGGGATGGACACTTTATGAGATACTAAGATATGTACCGGAACACAATTGGATTGCATATGAACAGGCTCTCAAAGCAAATCCCGTTTTTGCCAAAATGGTGATAAGTGGGGTTGTCTATACTCTAGGAGATTGGATTGCCCAAGTAAGTCTCTCTTCACTGTCTTCAGATAAGATTGGATAAAGTTCGTCTCAGTCATGGCTTGTATTTATGGTTTCTTAGTTCTTTCCTATTGTATGTGAAGTGTTTTGAAGGGAAGCCACTTTTGGATTTTGACCGGAAACGCATGTTCAGATCGGGCCTTGTTGGGTTTACTTTCCATGGATCCCTTTCCCATTTTTATTACCAATTTTGTGAGGTGAGAATTCTGGTCTATATTTGCTTATTTCTGGCTTGTTTGATGAGTTTCTATGAATTGCTAAACTTATTGACTCCGATTTTCAGGCTCTTTTTCCTTTGGAGGATTGGTGGGTGGTCCCTGCCAAAATAGCCTTTGATCAAACAGTCTGGTCAGCGATTTGGAACAGCATCTATTTTGTGGTTTTGGGGTTCTTGCGTTTTGAGTCCCCAACCAAGATTTTTGATGAATTGAGGGCTACATTTGTGCCAATGCTGACAGTAAGAAACTCTTCTAAATCTTCCTTATCAGTTTTAAATGTCTTGTTTTTGTTTTTGTGATTGTATTTTGCTTGTTTTGAATGGATTGGGAGATTATTTTTTTACCAGATAGAGTTGGATTTCTGTAAAAACACTTGAGGAGGATCTCTTCACTTATACCTGATTTAAGTTCTCTGACCCAGTTATCATAGCTTGTTTTGCTTCATATGCTGCTGATTTTATTAATATATCATGTAACAATAACAGGTAAAAGAACTTCCATACGTCGGTAAAGTACAAAAGTATATCTAAAAGAAGAGAACATTTGAATTTTGAGCTAATGTGGTCTCCAAAAGTAGTAATTGTTTCTTTCACTTGTATGCATACAGTCATACCAGCAGAGGTTAACGTGATACCTTAAAAAAAGTATAGACAAGGGTCGAGGGTGGATAGTAAAAACATGAATATAATTTTTCAGATTATAGTTTATGTTTGAACCTAGCAACTAAAATTAAGCAGAAATTATTATGACTTCGATATTTGATCTAAATGCTTCTTGTGGTTTGAGTTTCTATGAATACGGGTTTGATTGGTATATTGTAAGTGTTAACCTACTTATATTCCTGAGTAAATTGGCATGACAGGCGGGATGGAAACTTTGGCCATTTGCTCATGTGGTTACGTATGGCCTGATCCCTGTTGAACAAAGGCTTCTTTGGGTGGACTGTGTGGAGCTTATTTGGGTTACTATTCTCTCAACGTAAGCCTCCAATCTTAGTTTCTTTTATATGGCGAGAATTTCTGTGTGGGAACCCCTACCCTGATAAGGGTAGGCTGCCCTATTTTGTATGCCTGTTAATTTCGATATGTGTAATATCATTTCTCACTGGTTAAATTTTCTTTGGGCAGTTATTCAAATGAGAATGCAGATTCCAGTTTATCCGAGGCATCTTCTGGTGCAGATTCTGCTTCTTCGTCAAGCAGTTCTTCAAAGGTACGTCACGTTAGCTGTTACTGTAGGGCCTATTTCAGAATCTTAATACATGTTTGGGTCCAACAATGAAATCTTCAAATAATGAATACATGATTCCGTGTGCAGGACTAAATTCTGAAAAGCATGGTACTGAGACGGTTTTCTACAGCCAACGCAATAACCACTGTTTCCACCCTATTAGTGTTTGGAAGCGCAAAATTTCTATACGAGAACTGCGAGGAAAGTAGTTGTTAGGGGAGATCATCATTCAATGGCTGTGCAGACCACAATATACTAGGAAGCAGCATGAGCTATGCAGCTTGGGAGACAAGCAATTATTGGTTATCCTAACCAAACATATACGATACAAATAATAATTTTTCTGCCAAATGTGTTCTATATTCGTTCTCAAATTCAGTCAGCTCCCCCTGGCGATCTCGTGCTATGTATATTCATTGGAGTAGCTGTAAATTTCAACAGGTACTGCAACTCATGTTGTAGCTTGGAGAAACTGTATACTTGTAATAATAATGCCATAAAGAAGAGTAAGAAGAATGAGATTTTGTAACTACTTTATGTTTCTTGATGTTGAAATGACTGCCTTTTTCGGCGAATTTTGAGACCACTGCTTTGGCTTCTTCCGAGGAATGAGCTTCATCTTCTTTACAAATCACAGTTTCACGTATATGCTGCAATGATTTATTTAAATATTAAGACAAATATTTTTGTGCACGTGTCAAACTGTAATTACCATTCAAATAAGAATGGCTACTTTTGAGTTTTAAATTAGGACATTTTTAATTGAACACAACCATCTGTCATTCTAGCAATTTATAATTTGACACGTGTAGAGATAACTTATAAAAAACACACCATAAAAAAAAAAAACTAATAAAAAGGACTTGAAAACTTTGAGTTTTAATGATAAGGACAAAATAAAGGGTAAAGTGAATAGTACCATGATTGACTTTTTAGTGTAAAAATATGGTTTTTCGTTAAAGTAAACAGTACCGGGTGCTTTTCGTTAAAGTTTCCTAAAAAAAATTGCACAAAGGAAGTAGCCAAGTATAGTCCTTATTTTTAGCAAGGGATTTGTAGCTCAGTTTGTGAAATACCACTGTCTGCTACACCCTAGGTCTAAATTCGAATATCCCCTTCCAAAGTAGAGAAATCTAGTCCTCATCGAAATCCTTCACATGTTCGGTGGTTCTTACCGAATGGATCTCATTCGGGCATTACTATCGAACATTTTTTTAATCCAATGTGGCGTTAAAAAAAGGGCCATTTCCTTGGTACATCACATGCAGTGCACGTGACCACCCAACATTTCACAAATCGCGCGGGATCCCACTGCCGTTAACAGAAACCAACTTCCTCTGCCTCCATCAAACAAGTAGCAGCACCCCAAAATTTTTAAAATTACAGAACGAACCCCAGATCTGAAAATTCTCTTGCACCTCGATCCGTTACCCTTTTCCTAGATCTCTGATATCGACTCTGATGACTGGGTTACCAGTACAACAACAATAATTCGAACGCCTCACTGATAGCTATTAATTGCGCCTAAGTATATTCTAACGCCATCGCCATCCTCTCGCTCGTAAGAATCAGAAATGTTAAGAGGAAGCCACGTCTCCACACGGTATCTCTTCATCTTCTGTGTTGTATATGTCATTTTCGTCATTCTTCTCTGTATCCTGGTCTAATCGCGTTCTCTGCTCTCATCAAGTGCAAATTGTGTGCTATACTCGCGATTGTCTTATGCAAGCTTTACATACATTCTGAACCTCGTGCATGAAATACGATGCATAGCGGTCTGAATTACCTGGATCTTCCTCTCAATATTGCAGTTCGTGTTATGATTATTCTTTCGCTAATTATTTGGTATTCTGTAATGACATTCTATGTAGATAATGAAGGGATTAGAGTTCCTGCTGCCCGAGTATTCTTGATTCTGATAGTGGGTCCCGACCACCTTCATTGATGTGATTTTGAGTACCAAAATACCATGAAGGTCTATTTTATATATTCTTTGTTGTGATATTTGAATGAAGGAGTTCATGCATAATATATCGCATATAGGTATTATAAATGTTCAACGTTGTAATCTTATTTGAATAATCGCCTGTGTATATAATTGGAATGTAGCTTGTAGTACTGCCTATCATTGTTATCTATAGTATGTGCTATAAATATCTGGAGTATGTTTCTTTTTTGTCCCATAAAATTAGTGAGAGCCGATATAATCTATACAGAGAATCAGTTGCACGTAATCGTAAAGAGTGGTTAGAACTGTAGGGATAGGAGAAAGACGAGCGAAGAGAACAACGAAACGCGTGTTAAGCCCCCAAAGGCTTGACGCGTTAGGACGTGGAGGGTCGTGGCATGTTGTGTTATGTGTGAGATGTTGATGTATTGGTGAATAAGGGTAGAGTATAACAATGAGCAGACTATTGAGATTCCGTAAGGGAACATGAAGAGGTGAGTTTGGGAGAGTCATCTGGGTAGTTGTGGCAGGATGTGGGAGGACTAGAGTGTTCAAGGTGTAGAAAATGTCTCTGTTGGCTTAAGGTGCTGGAGATTATTTATTGTATCTCAGGTCTTTAAAACATGCGGTTATTGGATATGTCCAACATTATCATCTATTGCTAAGAGGTGTTAGTGCAGCATCGCTTTCTTAGTGGCGCAATCCGAGCAAAGATTAGATTACTGTGGTCGGTTGTCTTTGATTCTTGCTCTGTAGGGTGAGCTGTAAAACTATTTCCTATGTCAGGTTGGTGGATTATTTATTCAACGTTCGAGGCTCCGCCGTCTAGACCTTCCAACTTCTTTTTTCGAGGTATCCAATGGTGGCGTTTTTAGCCGCCCACCGATTCCTCCTGTTCATCTCCGTGTTCCTAGATGATTAAATTGGTGAATAATAATCTCTCAGATGCTCCCGATATGTTATCGCGTTTCCTTCATTGTTGTGTATTTATCTAGAACCTAATGCTCTCTTTTATCGTTTCTGGTAAAAGTCATGTTCTTATCGCTCTGTGAAACTCTACGTAGGACATAGTAGCGACCTCGACTGAATAAACTCGCGATCAGATCGCTCATTGCTGCGATTTCCATCGCAGATAATATAATGGAGACTAATCTAACTAATTACAGTGTCTTCCTATACGTACTGGAATAGTATCCTGAAAAAATCGTAACATTTATTATCAGTTTTGTAAACTCTGCTGTACCTGATTAAGCCAATAATACAGTTTCTGCAAGTTTCTTGATTCGACTCTTTAAAGTTGTCGTAACTCTTAGTGTGCCTTGTTAACATTGTCAATTTAAATGATCGTGTCGGGAGTTGTCTAGTGTGTGGAATATTTTGAATGTTTTGCATTTGCTATAGTCTGCATATATACACTTCTTTAGTAATGCTAGTAGTCGTAAACAGGTTTTTGGGTATCAGTCACTAGCAATTGGAATGATATAATCCGACTACACATTCAACGGTGTTGGTCTTGGCCTTGGTCTGTGTCAACAACTCTTATATCGATCTCTCGAATGGTGAGCTCTCGCAGTTGGCATCGAAATTAAGTAATCATGTCTTCCACTTGATATTGATCCAGTTGATAATCTCTTTCATGGAATGCAGCTTATAGTTTGTTTTTGATGCATAGTATAGCTGTGTGCAAAACCTGACTTTCATCGTGATCTGAATCATTTCACGATCATATTTATTAATTGAGCGAATTGAGTGTCATTTTACTGTGCTGATATATAAATCTCAAGGTTGATAGATGGAATATCTATATATTGTCTCGCTATATACCTTGTCAAGCAATTGGGGCTCCATACGAGATTCACTATCTAACATCTGGTTTGATGCATCACTAACTATTTATAGCAATGGTCGGTAGGATAGGATGTATTGTGCGCAGTCTTACCTTTGCTTTGCAAAGAGGTTGCTTCCACGACTCGACATCCTCGTTTGAATCACTGTGATAAGTCTCTCTTCTTTCTGTTTGCCAAAGGCCATATATACGTTCACCTAACCATTTATTAATTTGACGAATTTCTACTCTTCCTCGTACTGCTTGGCAACACAGATGCGTATGGATGATTGATGTGACTTGAATTAATGTCGAGAATGCAGCTCTATTTACAACTCCTTGATATTATAACATAGAGAGCTTCTCGTTTCTATTTGACTATTTCGAGGTATCGTTGAAGCTTCAAAACGATTTGGATCTGTGCGCCACTAAATCAGGGAATAGTTAGTGTGGGATATTACTACTCACTCCTACCTTGTCAATAGCCAGCTAGTGGATAAAAAGCAATACCTCTCCCCGTAGATAAGTAGACTCCCGTCTCTATTCTCGACACGTCATTCTACTCACCAACCTCAGGAAAACTCTCTAAAGCGTACAAAGGAGAAACAACAGTGGCTGTGACCAGCAGTTCATTGATTCACCTCCATCTCTATGATAGAATGTCAGGTAACTACCCTAATAGATAAATATACAGGACACAATAACAGTAGACTTTATTTACATTAACTAACTTATAATGGAGAGGCTATGTGAGAGTGCAGGGATGCTGGTGCGTGCGTCAAGATTCGGATCTCTCTCAACCTAGATTAGGTGCAGGAAGAAAGGGAGAAATCAAGAACTACCCATTCCACTAACAGGACGACGGATATACAGTAGATATTCAAAATGACCATAAGTCGCATGTCTCAATTTTCTCTCTCAATGAGACTCATTTGTCCCTCTAACTGAATCAGGGAGGTGGTGAGTTCACCTGTAGGGTCCCGCTTAACACCATTGGTCCGCGAGGTTGTGAAACACTCCATATAAGCGGGCTTTGAGAATGAATGTGTCATCACTCCGGCCTGGAACATAGTCGTCACTATGTTAGGCTATCGCACCTTACTAACCAATAATCCACCCAGGGGTGTCAATGACGTACGTGGAAGACATAAAGCCGTGAAATAAGACTCATATAACATAATCTTCTCTCTCAGAGTACGAGTTAGATGTCAAGCCCAATCAAACGACTGTACCCACAATACGAGTGAAAAATGACGATATAATATCTGATCATCATGTTTCGAACTGAAACCTAAATCACCTGAGGATATTAAGTTACTTGTCATCTTTTAGTGCATGTGACTGGCTATAGATTTACGGAAACATTTTTCGCTCCGGACTAACACTTAGCATATCACATAAACCTACACCAACATAATAAGAGAGGCAAAAGGAAAGCTGTTAAACGAACAATGGAGACTGAGATGTCGAGAATCCGAAGAGCGGGTTTGTGTGTAGAACGCGCATTATCGTGAGCAAATGCTAAGCCAGATAAAACGAGCGTGCGTGATGAGCAGAGGTAATTGTTGAGGGATCATGGGTAATGATCTAAGAAGGCAATAGACTGACTAGTGTGAGCTTAGGCAATGATTATAGACTCTCAGAAAAAACGAGGCGACATTGACTCGTGCAAGTATAGACACTGACGGACTTTTTGTTGTTGATTTTGATTGGAGAGTGATGACCACTCGTTCCAAGCTCGACGGGTGACGGATCTCAAACTCCTGCCAAGAGTATTCTTAGAGCGAAGCCCAATGTAGGGCTTAAGTGAGGAGACGATATCAACACAATCCGCAATGGATACAATTGTCTCTCGTAAACTCATTGTCCACCCGCAAAAATGATCAGTTATATAGAGATTCAGGTAAGCTCCACTCGAGATATACTCACAAACTCTAAAAATTTGTTTAGTATACGTGGATGTTCATCTCAGATAGACCGTACATATTGATATTTACATTTCATTTATTTCTCTTGATTATTTCTACTAGATTTATTATTTTTATCTTTTCTTCTCTGAATTTTTTCTCACAAAATTGTCATTTAATTTTATTATTTCATTATACGTCTCACATTAGTATTTCAAATTTATTTCCATATTCGCTCAACTTGTATTTCTTTTTGATAGTTGCCATTTTTGAGATATACAACTAATTTATGTTATATCGATAAATAATTATTGATTACTATGTATCATTCTATTCGAATTTAGGGTGTATTAAGAAAATTTACGAGTTATAATAATATATTTCAGGTGCATACGTTTATGCGTGTACAACCACTTCGAGTATACAATCAACATTCTCGATACTTTCAATAATCATATTTCTCTAGGCTTTTAGGTTCAATATATATACAATCTCTTCTTTCTAATTGATTAGTCGTGTGAAATGCGATATTTCTGTGACATACATTTCTGCTTGTACAAAGTATTATTTATTTGGACAATTAATAATACTTATATTCATTAATAACTAAATATTCGGATTGATCATATATGATATTAGGGTATACCTATCAATGTCTCAAAGAAAATAATCGTACTAACATTTTTAATAATAATATCTCGCTTAAACATAGTAAGTGATATTTTTCGTACAAACATTGATTAGAGCTTCATTAATTGAGTCTTTCTATGTTAGATAGGATAATCCTTTTCATTGTAAATTAAAAATTTAATTAAATATAAAAAAAATTTTCTATATATATTGATGTAATTAGAATTAATTTCTTATAACAATTTTCATGTTATTTTAATAAATTTTTATAGAATTTATACATTTGGATGACAATTAACAATGAACAATGTACATATATAAAATTGCTAATTTTTCTAGAATTATTAGTGTCATTAGCGCCGTATGAATGCATAATAACTTAATAATAAGATCACGCAAGTGTTTTATTTTCTAATTATATTTAGAATCGTTCTGTAGAGGTTGTCATTATAGGTTAATCTCAATTTTAATAACTCTCCACAGTTACACTTTTATGTTAAGTAGCGTGTGGCGATGGAAGAGAGAAGAGAGTGAAATGAGGTTAAGGTTTATGTGTGTAGAGTCGATAAATTTTGAAATCAGCGTTTAAAAGAGAGAACTGTGGAGTACTGGTGCAAATAAAAGTTCCAGGAAAATACAAATGTCAGAATTCTGAGATGCCTATGCGATGGGATTAAAATATATTAGACATCTGCGCCTGTCAGAACGTTGTAAGAGAAATTTTTTGCAAGTCAGTGAATAGAAGTTTATCTTAGACGAAAATCGGAGATTAAGCAAGGGTTAGAACTTTTCGAAGGTACTGGGGAGAAAGTGATGTATCTCGCAAAATAGTCGGAAGATAAATTATGTTGAGATCTGAACCTTAGATATATGATCTCACGAGGTCTGAACTAGCGCACCCACGACTTTTTTCAATTATCTTGCTTTTTACTTAACAAATCAATAAAACCTCTAGGCATGTACAAATACATTCTCATCTAATTGATTCTGTCCTCATAGAACTTGTAGAATCAATTAAAATGAATTGCATACACTATCTTCCGATAATAGTGAGTGGTTATTTATGTGAGGTCGCTTATAAGGTTGATGAACCATACGTGATTGACAAAAGAAATCAGTCGGGGTACAGTCTTCATCTCTTTGGTTACCAATAGTATTGATGATTGATACAATGTAAGAAATACATATTAGATTATCTCCGCTCATTAACGTAACCAGACCGCTTTCTTGCGTAGAACCCGTTAATTAAATCATTGTGACTATGATTTCCTGCCTTTTCTCAGTGTAAAACCTCGATTGAGATATCAAAAGTGCTCTGCATTTATGTGTTGCTATCTTTATTTGCCACAATAACTCCCCTTATGTTATTGATCTTCTGGTATAGTTTCCTTCTTTCTTTTTCCTCTTCTCGGAGCAAGGAATCCCTTAATTCCGCGAGATGCATTTATCCACATTTAGCATTTCCAATATCTTCCCCTTCTCTCATCATTGCTCTGTTGATCATCTCTATCCTTCCATGTCCGTAACATACATTTCTTATGAAATATTCACCCTGGTCCATTTGTACGTATGCTCGCAAAAGAGTATGCCATCGTGGTTATATTGGATATCATCCTGTACGCAAATTTGCACCGTCCAATCTTTCGATGCTGTGAATCTCGACAGCACTTCTCGACACATATTAAGTCTATATTTTCACTACACAGTAACGGATTTGAACAAGATGATGCAATCTCATATAACATTAACTTTGTTGACTTCTGGTATTTAGGACTCTATACTCAAACTCTACCCATTTCTCAATAAACTTCTTTTAGATTTGCAGTCTACAATGAATCGTTGTGTGATACCTTCCGCTTTCCATAATATTTTATGTTGAGCAAAACATTGCTCTGCTGAACACATATGACCTTTATTCATAAGTTTGTGTTATGTGACTAATTTTTTAGAAAATTAACTGAAATGTTTGAAGTTCACAGAATAGGCAGAAGTGAATCACGGGCTGAGTGCTTTCTGTCATCGTAACAGCTTCCTCTTCGCCCTCTACTCACCTTATCCTTATGCCAAGTGGTGGTATTATTTTTTGACAGTAATCTCTAAATGTGCATGATTGATCTCTGAAAATCAGATGCGGTAGAAGTTACGTGATGACGGCGTAAAATAGAAATGGGAAGTATGCGGTTATTCAGAAATGCGGTCTATGTTGCAATAAGGCAGCGATGAGGATAACTGTCGTATCAAGTTTTCTCAATATTGTGCTGAATCTTCTGACCTTGAGGGTCGTTTAGTTATCAAACAGAGCTGGGCTAACGTCTGTATCCACTGTGATGTCTGTCTGGCATAGTGCCTACGGTAACCACAAGGCAAGTATCGATCATTGGATTCTGTTGCGGTTATAGTAAGTCTGTTTTATTTGAGTAGAGGTTGTTCGGGTCTGATGTTATTTGTGACCCTCTGTTCTCTTAAACACTTTATGTAGGATCAAGTATATGAGCATATAAATACTCTCATATCTTGGCTTCATCTAGCATGTTTGACAATCTGGACTTTAGAGATGAATATACCTATATATCTCTGTGAGAGACGACACAGAACAATTCTAGTTGGCACTTCTCAGTTATGACCCCTGATGATAAGAATCAGGTCTTCCTTGTATGTTTGTTTGCTGTTTGCTGGTATCGTTTGTGCCTTCTTCACTATCTAGTAAATGCTGAGGAAATAGGAAACCCAGATAAGACCTTTAATCATCCTCTTTGTGTTTTTTTATGAGGGCTACAAATAATTATCCCATTTAAATTTCAACAAACTGCTAGCCTCGGTCGTGTCATATTTTGATATTCTCACAATTCTCTATAATGTGGCCTTTCCATCTTCTGTGAGGAGAGTAGGAAGTTGAACAGGAGTTCACGCACGAGGTCTACGCTAATCTCCAAAACCCGACCATGTTGTGATCTATCTCTTTTCGCCTACTTCTCTTCATCCCTTATTCTCCAACTGGTAGCTACAGAGCTCATTATGAGATATCACTCTGAGTGGCGATTATTTGCTATGTTCAGTGGATATATGGTTCGGCGTTGGCAAAGTGAGGTGAGCTGCAGAGATTGTGCGTCATAACTAGATATTTCATATTCATGACATTGCCTTACCGAGGTGATTTGCCCTATTGAATAGGGTTTGCAGCTATTCGTGATGAAGTTTATGCCCTTCTAGAATTCCTGCGTAAAAATCTCCCTCGATTCTTTAGTCCCAGTATTTCCCAGTCTGCATAAAAAATTATACAAGAGCCAATAACGACTTGCATCAGGTCAATCATCTATCTAATCGAATGGTTAAGGTATTTGAGTGTTCCATATTCAGCAGAGTTTCATGCTGTGTTCCTACACTAGTCCTTGTCAATGTCCTATGCTGTCTGTTGGGTCGCAGCTATAGGCTATCTCAACAGTAACTCTAAGTCTTCTAATTAGGCTAAAGACAATCTCCAAATCTTGTAACTTCGTTAACAGTTAAAACCGTCTTTGAGAGAAGTGATATATATGTAAAGACCATTATACAAGTGGTGGTAAAAATTACTGTGCAAGTCGAGGATCCAGTGAATAAGCCGGGAGTATACTCGTCGACAGTGCAAGCAAATCATCTAAGTGATCAATTATGTTGTATCTCCGGGCTTGCTAGGGCGGGCTTCCCTGAGCTATGCGAGTGATATCTATATCAGTGATGCAAATCTGCTCTCTCTCATAGGTTTGTATACCCACTTGTAACATACATTGAATCATCCCTCTCTCTGTAAATTTAGCAGAGAGACACGGCTATTACGGTTTTGATGCACTCTTTTTCTCGAGCTGCAGTGTTTAAGGAATACAATTGTCTAATAGACTTACTTGATCTGGATTCTTTAAGTGCTCAGCGTTATCTCACTACCGCACAAATACCCATGATTTCCTAAAGATGCGTCATGTTTTAGTTTCGTTGATCACTCCTCACGGTTTGGCTTCTCTGGAAGCTTCTCTCGCGAAAATTGATATTTCTACCCATTTGTTGTTATTGTATCCTTATAAGGATTTTCTATGTTTTCTTGTGCAGATTTCATTAAGGAGGTTCCATAGGACCTTTCCACATGTTAATCATTCATCAAATAAGGTTGTATAACCAACTATATATAACTAGATGTAGTAAGAAATAGAACAACTTCGCTACGAGAAATTATAGTATTGAGGGATAAATAGGAGGTCAAGACGAAACAATGTGTAGACCCTATACATAAAAGGTATATAGAATCAATTGATGAATCTGACCTGGTCAGATAGTTATCTCGGTGTGAAAAATCAGGTATGAGTCGACTCGCTATGATTCCTTTCAAACATGATAAATCGAACAAGACACGTCGTATCCGGGTTGAGCCATTGCTAACCAGGGGCATCATCAGAAAGCAACACATTACTCGTAGTAACTTCAGCTCATCTGCAAGCATATCAACTACCCTTGCATGCGGTATTGATTCCTTCGAGCTCCCCACCTAAATTTTACAGCAACACCAGCCAAGAGTGAAGAGTTCTAACGAAATCATAGTGCATGACAAACAAACATGTGATGAGAGAATGAATATGTATTATAGTGATTCAGGTTATCTTTGGGGAGATCGGCTTTGAGATTATCAACAGTTCAACTAGAGTGTGGCCACGCATGAGATAACTAACCTACTGTTTCTTTGATCCCAGTATGCTCGGTAGATCCCCTATGATATACCCATGAACAGGATATACTTTTAAGACCCCTGTGCAGATGGTTGAGCGGCATACAATTAGCAACAAGACTATACACAAATGAGATGAGGAAAAATTAGAGATTTTGCAAGGAAGTGAGTGTTAGCGCAACGGTTAATCCTGTTGTTAAAGTAGCGTACTAGCGTCTCCACTGCGGAGCAAGTGCGCGAAATAGGATGGGACCTCAGCTCCTTGTCCATGGATTTGTATGACTTCAGGAAAGCGTCTCTCCATGATAAATTCAATTTTTCTTCAGCCGAACCATCCTTCTCAGTATCTCCACCATCTGACTTCTTCATGCTCCCTTTGAAACATGTTGTACTGGACCCTTTTAACCTCGATTGATATGAATACAAGAAGGATAGCAGCTTTACAGGCAATGCATCCCTTACTTTACGAGCAACAAGATGGCCATGCGGACCATGGCCGTCAAAAACACCACAAAAGATCGCATCATCGGACATGAAATCCTTCAAAAGATTATAAAATCAAGAGTTCAGAAATTACCTACCATCATGTTCAATTAGTATTTCAATTGCAGAGGAGAAACACTTACTTCCCACACAACCATGGCATCCTGGTTTATGCCTTTGCGGCCCTGCTGTGTGAATATGCAAGAAGTCTGACTCTTTCCGTTGGTAAAAATGCGGTTGGGTAAGGTGTGTAAGTTCTGAAGAGTATATGAATGGTCAGAGAATGTCTTCTTCGTTCTCTTTTGGCCGCAAAATCCAATCCCCAGGCCTGTCTGCGCAACCCTCTCTCCATTGCTCCTGCTACTACGAGTACTCCGACTACTAGTAGAAACACAACCCCCCATTTCCTCAGCTCAACAAAGAAGACATTAACGAGGGATAAGTCCTACTTTTGCCAACCAGATCTCACATGAAATTCTGGAATTCGCCACAAATGGTCAAACGGAGCAAATGACTATCCAAGTACCAAAGATTCCCACACGTCCAAACCACCAGCCACTTTACAAGCCCATGTAGAAAAATGAGGTCACTTTATCTTGGTCAAACGAAATCCGTGGATGTAACGCGAATCCATGATAAAACCAGCTGAGCCGAACAAGAAGACATTAGTTAATTACTTGTTTAATTCTGGCAACACAGAATGCAAAAATGGTTGCATGTAAAGAACCAAACAAATCAAACGAGATGTATTATAAAAACACAATTCCATGTGAAACAAGGAATAGAATATACTTAGTAAGTCTATCCTCTCCTGATCCTATTGCCCTTCAATAAACTAGGATTTTGAGCAAATTGATTCAATAAAATAGAAAGCAAAGACCAGTAGATTATAATATAAATTAGATTCGAACATCGCTTGATAAAAAACAGAGGTTAACGGAGACAAAAACAGAGAAATGGCACCACAAAAGCACGAAATTTTCCCTGTATTCTGCCGACTATGAGATTCAGACCCCAATATAAAAACGCACCACGTAAAATCGGATAGATAGAAACCAAGAAATGCACCATACAACACGAAAATACCCTGCATTCGGCCAGCTATGCGATTCGGACTCATCAAAATTCAACAATACAAGTAAAATAAACATGTGTCGCTTAAAAGATTCTTAATAAAGCAGAACTGCACAGAGATGCAAAAAACCAGAAGAACAATGAGACTATTGAAAATCTTACCTCAATTATATGTGCCCACAAACATATGCAGAAACAATCAAGCTTATCTGACTTGAATTGGATACTAATTAAGCAAAACCAGAACGAGATATTCTTGACAACTAGGAATTTTTTAGTATATTTTAAATTTTCCTCCACTTTCACAGCAACCAAACAAAGCATAGGGTCCGGTCAACGGACCTGTTTCGGATGGAGGGAGGGGGAGAGAGAGAGGTAAAGGCAACAATGAAATTGGTACGAACTGTTGTTTTCCCACTAGAGAGAAATCAGAGAGAGAGAGAAAGCAAATTTCGAAAAAGCAGGAAAAAGACGAGGAGGAATGATCTTTTGCCAAATATCATCATCAAGCAAACAAGCAAACAAGCAAACAAACAAACAAGCATACGCAGGGTTAATCCTTGTTTGGTTCCTGAGAAAAGATCAAGGAAAGTCCTTAAACTTTTGAGCAGAAGAGATCACTCAAATATTACATGATTATTAAAAGGGGGCAAACAGAGCCGTAAAACCCAAATCACAAACAACCATCAAAATCCAATGGTATGTTTAGTTTTCTATGAGAATGCAGTGAAAGTTTCAGTCTTTTACAAAGCCAAGCAGCAAAAATATGAAATTTAAGATGTTTAACTGTCTCTCTCTCTCCCTCTCCCTCCCTCTCTCTCCCCCTGAATTTTTACCCAGCAGAAATCAGAACTCAAATGAGATATCAAAGTAAATGGATTGGAGTGCAGAGAGAGAGAGAGAAGTTGTACATGCAGATGTTTGATTGCTCTGTGATTATTACCCCAAATCACTCAAGTTTCAATTCAAATAAATAAAAAAACACAAATAAAGAAGAACGTTATGGTCAGAGACAAATGGAAAGCAAATTGTTTAGTGATGAAACAAACAAACCATCCAAAATTAGAAGTAAAATTAGAGTGTGTGAGAAAAACTGAGAAAAGGGTGGTAAATTTTTTACCTTATTGTTTGAATTTTGCTTGCCAAGATTGGAGCTTTGGGATCGGAGTAATGAAAACCAGAGCAGAGCAGAACAGAAGGACAGAGAGAGAGAGAGAGAGAGAGAGAGAGAGAGGTGATTACTAATATGGTGGAGACTGGAGGGATCTCAAGGGAAAGAGAAATTTTTCATTAGGACTGGAACACAAGTAGTACATTACCTGGTTTAATAGAAGTCGAGGAAAATTTTATTTTTTAAGTTATAAACGTTTTAGCATACATATCTCATTATTTATATAATAACACGTGATGTACTATCTCGTGTACTAATCTTCCTAAAAAATCTATCGGAAGGAAGGTGGTGCATTAATTGCAAAAGCAGGGCAGAACAGAAAGGAGAGAGAGAGAGAGGGAAGTTTACTGTGGAGTAGCCGTGCACTCCCGAGTGAAACGATGATTGAAATCAACCTCATGATGCAACTTCCACTGTTCATGACCCTTTCCTCATGGCGCGTCCAATCATCCTTATCCCCATTTTCTTTTCATTTCTTTCCCTTTTCTTTTTCTTCTTCCCACCTAAAAGGCTAAAAAATTGAAATAATGAAAATCTCTTTTTATGATGCACAATTTGTTACTTCAACGGGAAAAATGAAATTCAAATTTTTATGCTTGTAATAAGTCTTCAACAAAAAAATTGTTTGTAAGAAATCAAAATAAGTTAAATTTTTAATTAAAATGTAAATAATGAAAAGTACGATGTTATAATGTATCATTGAACCTTGATTTATATATGACTTATTTTTCTTAACTTAGTATCCCTTCAATTATATTTTGATTGAAAGTTATAGTCAAAATATTTAAATTTTGTAATCATCATAATCATGATTAGAATACGTTCAAACCTAGAGAAAAAAAAGAGGTGTGATATACACACACCTCATTTTACTTCTTACACATCTTTTAATTTTCATCTATCGGATCAGATGAATTAAAAAGGATCAACGGATAGAAATTATCAAGGGCGTGTGAGAAATAAAATAGAATTTGTGGATAGCACACCAAAAAAAAAATCATGATTAGAGGAAAAAGAGAAATCTCCCGTACCCTTTATACTTTGGCTTTGAGTTGGTGACAACCCTGACCTTCTAAGTTTTTGGGGCAATTGGTTCGCATGCACCATTGTGGTGTGCTTTATCTAGCTATGGTGTCTATTTCGTGGTCGACCTCGACTCTGGTGGCAGCTCTTAATCACAACAAGTGGTGTTCTTCGTCTGTGGTTTTTGTTTTGGTTAGCCCATTTTTGCCTTCTTTATAAGAATTCCAAAAACTCTGCATGAGTTTATTGTGTTTTGTAGTCTCGCTACATGCAAGTTGTTTTAAGGGTGTTTTTCTTATTTGTTGTGTTATGTCGATTTGTAGAATAAATTTGTATTAGCAGTAAGTATATTTTGGTGATTAAATCAAATGTTTTAACTTTTATTAGTTAACTTTGTGCTCTTATTTGTCTCAAAAGTTATGTTATATTGCATTGTTTTCAAGACTTGGACCTGGTTATTGGTTAATCGTTATCATCCAGTTCATAAGCATGTTTACTGACGGTAAAAAAACACGAAAAATATCACAAAAATACATTTATTTTTACATGTTATTTTTATGGGAGGATGATTCCCTTCTCTCTCACTACTCTTCTTCTCACCCCTTCCTTTTAATTTAGACTGTTAGAAAGAAAAAAAAAAATCAAAGGACTTGAAATTGTGCTTCATATTTAATTATTTTATTGCTTTTAATGCTTTTGGTCAAATCCAATTGAATCCACAAACTACGAACATCAAAATTTTCCATCAAATGGGATTTGGATTCTCTCCTGAGCTAAACCTTATGAGCATTCTAAGTAAATCATACAGACAGTTGGATTTTGATTCAACAGCTAAAAAAAAGGAACTCCTCTAAAAGTTATAATAATTGTAACTATTGAATTAAAATCCAACAGCTCGTGTGATTTGATCATGAAGCTCAGCAGGCTGAGCTCAGGAGAGGATCCAAATCCCATCAAATGTACCATGAGTGATGTGTGGAAGAGGAGGAGGGTAAGCGATGATGTGAATGAAATCTTGGGGATTTTGGGATCGTGTATATTCATTATACGTGATCAGTTTTTGTTAAGTACTATTTATATTTAATTTAAAATTTAAAATTTAAAATAATTTCTGACCGCACGATATACGATGAACGGATACAATCACAGAATTCCTAGAATCCTTAGGAAAAAGATCCGACGAGGATCCTTTTCCGATGTGAATAATGGTGGAAAAGATGAAAGATTGTTGAACAAAAACCACATGGAAAAAAAAAACTTTTTAACTAAAATAGTCTATGAAATTGGCATAACTCATTACTTTGATTCATAATAATGAAATTTGATAGAAGTGATCTTAAGTCTGTCTATCATAAATTATGGGTCATTCCGTAAAAAACCTGTCAATATCCTCGTTAAGTGGATAAGTTGATTTGGCAAAAATATGCTTAAAAAGGTGAGTCACGTGATATTTCACATGACAATTTAACAATAATATTAATAGATTTTTTATAGAATAATCAAAATAATTTACAGTAGATAAACTCAAATATCATTTCTACCAATTTTCATTATCAGAAATCAAAATAAAAAATTACATCAATATTAATGACTATTTTAACTAGAAAAAATTTAAAATTAAAACTCATTAAATATGTGACACAGCTCTAAGTTATTAAATTTATTTTTGAATGGTCTAAATTAAAAAACAATGAGAGGGGGGAGATACAAGAAGAAGAGAATCAAGTCCATTATTACGGAGTGAAGACTGAAAGAGTGTGAACCTGGAACCGGTGTTGCTGTTCGAAGTTGAAAAGACAGAAAGGCACACACCAAACTGACACAAACTCGGGACACGTGCCGTGGCCGAATGTCCCACCCTCAAAGTAATGACGACGTAAATAAAATTTGCCAACTTGCCCAACTTTCCTCCCTCCCTCCCTCCCTCCCCCTGTCCTTCGGTTCTTCTGCCCATCTACTACAAACCCTACACACACACTCACCTCCCCGTCCGTGCTATCTTTCTTGTCCGCCTTCTTTTTCCTTTTTCCCTTCCTCTTTTTCTCTTCCTATATATTTTATTTTGGACAAAGATCCGAAGATTCAAACTCTTGAAATTTGATCAAACGGTTACAATTATTATCACTTTTATAAGGATCCTTATTTGTAGCCGTTTGATCAAATTTCAAGAATTCAGATCTCCAGATCTTTAGGATTTGGTGGGGTGAAATCCGGCAGGGATCTCTATCCTTTTATTTTGATATAAATATCAAGTTTAAAGTGTTGTGATTTGCTGAGCCTAATGGCGTATGTTGTATGATGTAGTTGAATCTAACTCTAGACGCATAGACATACTCTACTCGTTCCGTTATGAATCGATCACAAATATGATGATTTAAATGAAGAGAGGGAAGGGAAAAAGTAAAGGAGATGGGGATAAGCTAACAACTAAGCTACGGTTGGCAATGACAATTCTGGCAAAAATGAAAGCAACCCTACTTAAAACTTTTAAAAGTGTGGGGATTTAAGATTTCTTTCTAAGAACACAAATCATGCCATAAGATTAGGCTTTAACCAAACTTGTCTGTTACTTAAACTCCTTATGCAGTTGTCTCAATATGATGTTGAAGAGAAGATAAGCATTTTTTTTTTTTTTTGAAAAATGATGGTACATATAACATAAAGCACCATTGATCATTGTCGTTAATAGTGAGTTTTGGATGAACGTCAATTAGAGAAATTTGGTTGTCACTTGAAAAAGTTCATCTGCATTGGCTCTAGAAAAAGCTTGTTCACTCATAAAAATTCTTTAGAGTTGTCACATATGAAAAAAAAAAAATCCTAAAACATGAATATATCATCTTTGCTTCTTTATATACTTCTATGACACGCAAGTTCATCATGTCACATAAGACAACTTTCTCCCGCTATGATGATTGCTCTTGCATTTCTTCCATAAGACCCAATGGCCCTGTGTGTAGAGTTGCCCTACCTAAGAACTTCTCGTTCTCCTTGTGCTTTGTTCACATGTTATCCATTTGAGCTAGTACTGCAACCCTACAATTCAGTTTCAAACTTAAACCCTAATCTATGACCACAAATCTTGTAGTTGTATACATCTAGCCTGCAAGTTGCATGGTCGTTTGTAAGTCTGTGACCCAATTAAATTGTGTTCCCCTTCATTGTGAATAGCAAGGCTGGAACTACTCTAAACCAGATCATGTGGAACTGGAAATGATAATGAAGGGCAGGCAACCCAGCTCAAAAGGAATAGGCCTTTTATATTCCTTTATAATTTCTTTACAAAAAAAATTGCAAACTGATGTCAAACATTCAGTGGTATTAAAATTACAGATGCACACAAAATCATATATATAATCATATTTCATTTTACCAAAACAATACACAATTTCGTCTGAAAAATAAAACATTATTTTGTGAGATGATCACTGTTGACGTACGTATACATATTTTAGAAAAATATACCTCTACGTATTTTAGAAAATAATATCGTTCAAGATATATTTTTTCTTTGAAAGTATGAGAAGAGCACGTTACATTCACATGGGACATGACTAATTCACACCCCACCTCTTTTTCTTCTGA